GGGGGGGGGGGGGGGGGGTCACCAAGCTTAGGGTGATGGGTGGTATAAATTGGGAAGTAGGAGAAATATAAAAGGGGGATAAAGGCGGAATAAAGGTAAGCCGAACAGGTGGATATAAAGGGGGGCGAGGGAGACGCGCCGGTAAAAACAGGGGTAAAATAAGGTTATAGAGGGGTTATACAGTGTAAAGAAAGTACAAGTGGGGTACAAAGGGGCTTATAAAGGGGGAGATAGGAGTAAAACCAGAGCCCAGTAAGCCCATCCCAGCCCCTCAGTTTGTAGGGAGCCCACACTTCTTCCCACCTGCCGCAGCTCCTCTTCCATGTGGGACCCCCCTCATCACCATCACCCCCCTCAGCCGGTACCCCCGCACCCCGCAGAACAGAGACCCCACCCCATTCAGAACGTGGCATCAAGCCCACCTGCTACATCTTCCAGGGGAATTCCAGCAGGCTCCTGGCTGCTTCCTTTGGGTGAGACAGGTGGGGCAGTGAGCAGGCCCTCATGGACAGGGCATCCTGGCAGATCTGGAGCTCGAGGGGCGCACAGGGGCTGCCCCTATCCCCAGACAGGTCACTGCAGGAGAGGGCACTGGGGGAATGATGGCGACGGAGACAGGAAGGTTCTGACATGGCCCCCCAGCCCTCTGGGGACCCACTGGGGAGAAGCAGCTCCAGGATGGACCCAGAGCTCTGACGTGAACCAGCCCCCAGTAAATCTGTCCCCATCCACATGGGGATGTCTCCTGCATGGTCCCCTGACCCTCCACCTTGGCCTCAGTGTCTGGAAGGTTCCGCAGCCAGGCCAGACCTGGTTGTGCAGCCAGCACAGTCCCCCAGGCAAAAGGATGATCGTGAGGGTGATAGTGGGGCGACCTGTCCTGGAATATGGGACCCACGCCCAGGACCTTCCACTCCCAGCCAGGCACCGCCAGAAGCAGCAGAAGGCGCTGAGGCTCAGCGTGTCCCACCTACAGCACAGTGGAGATCAGGTGCTGGGACATCTGCAGCACAGGAGGATCAAGTGGGTACCCCTCCACCAAGGACCTCCTCTGGCCCTCCACTCTCACCTCCAGTGGCTCCTCATCCTTGCAGAGCCCCCCGGTCCTTCCCCAGTATCCCACATGACCTGGTGGATGGGCCTGGGGGGACAGAGCAGGTGCCTGGGAACAGCCCTCATCTCTTGGAGGGCAAACACCCACCTGACTCCAGTAGCTCAGTATGGCCAGGGATTGCCCACATCCATGTCTGGAGAGTGGCAGGACTCCATAGGAAGGTTTCGGTGTTCTGTGGGGGTCAGGGTGGGGGGGAGAGGGTGTCCAGGAGGAAGGTTCAGGGGAGGGTTGGGAATCTCCTGGGGTTTTCTGAAGGGAGTGTCGCAGGGCCAGTCAGTGTCCTGGGGGGTGTCCAGGGGTCCCAGGGGAACAGCAGCTACAGTGGCAATAGGTTGAAGGGCAATAGAGCGCACTGGATGGCACCAGCCCCATTGCCTGGCCTGGGGAAGGGGAATCTATCCTGTGGGACTCCTGAGCCCTCAGTGCCCCCAGTGGGACAGTGGTGATGGTGCCAGGAACCCTAGGCTGATCCCACCCAGCTTCCCCCTGCAGGGCTGCCCATCCTGTCCCCATTTACTCCCACCTGGTCCTGGTTCCTGCTGGTGCCAACAGGGCTGGAGCAAGGGGTGGCTCCCCTCGTCAGGCACAAGTGAGCAGGGTCGCCCCAAGCCCCTCGCTCGCCCCCCGGAGCTTCCCTGCTCCAGCTTGTTCCCCTTCCGAGCCTGGGACCCCACAAACGGCAGCCAGTCCCCCTTGCCCTAGGGCTCAATCACAGCGTCCTCACTGTTACAGGGCTCATGCCCCTGTCTCCCACCCGCCCTGGCAGCCCCAGCCCGTAGGGTGCAGCCCCTCCTTGTCCCACCTGGAGCTCCACACACACTGATCTGTACCATTTATTCGGGGTTTTACAGAAGTCAGGGAGTTGGGGGGGTCAGACCGTCACCAGGGCGGGGCAGGGGGAAGTCGGATCCCGACATTAAATTATGGATTAAATTAATGAGCAAGAAAAACCAACAGTTTTGTCTCAGGAGAAAGTGCCCATGTGCAGGGGTGGGCAGGGGGCCCCTTGTGGGGTGGGGGTGAACCCTGGCAGGACCCCAGCCCCAGGACACACATGCCCCGCACACGGACATGCACGGGCACGCGTGCTCCCCCCTGTGCCTCCACTGACGTTTGGTCCCTGCTTGGAGCCCCCTGCCCTCTTCCCGGGGACCAGGCCAGCAACTCCCCCCTGCCACTAGCTGCAGGGCACAGGGACCTATCACCAGCCCACCCAGGATGCCCCAGGGAGGCAGGGGGGTCTTTGGGGGGTGCAGCGCCCTGTGAATCAGGAGTGCAAGAGCAGCCACACTGGAAACACCTGTGAATGGCCTGGAGGGAGCCAGGGTGTCCCTGGCACTGGAGGGCAGAGCAGGAGCCTACCTGGGTGCCAGGTGCAGCGGGGAGGCCCCACAGCCCTGCCCTGACACAGGGGGAACCTGGCTTTTCCAGTGCTGCCCCCACCCAGCTCCACTGTGCCACAGGGCAGGGGTCTCTCTGGGTGGAAGTTGGCAGTGGGCCTGGGAGGGGTGCACCCTCATCCTGCCCCAGGGAGGCAGAGGGGGACAGTGGAAGGTCCTGGCTCACCCCAAGGTGAGTGGGGTGTCCCCAGCCCCTTAGGAGTGTCAGGAGCAGGGGGGCTCCAGCTGTCTGCTGTGTGGGGTCTGTGCTGAGGAGCTGCTGCACCCTGCCCTGAGGAGGGGCTGTGGGATGGGAGGTCCCAGACAGCTCCCCACACCTGGTGGCCCCCCCCCATCCAAGACCAGGCCTGGGTTGTGGCCCCCACAAGCCCCTGGCCGCAACTGAGGTCCATGTGTGCTCCTCCATCCGGGGGGCACGGGGGGCTCACTGCTCCTCCAGCCAGGAGGGCTTCTCGGTGCCGGGGGTCTTGAGCTTGATGTTGAACTGCTTGAGGGTCTGCTCAAGCTGCTGCTGGTTCCCAGCAAAGTACGCAGAGATGGCATTGTGGAACAGCAGCAGTTGCTTGTGCATCACCTTGATCTGGGGGGGAGGGGAGAGAGAATCATGTTGGAGGGGGCCTGATCCCACCCCAGCAGCACAGAAAAGGGGTTGGAAAGCCCTCTGAGACCCCCCCTCAAGTGCCACTGCTCCCCTCCCACACTGCCCATTCCACCCAATTTGTGTCCTTAAGTGACAAATCCAATGTGGCTGTCAAATCCCTGCAGGGACCCCATCCCACCCATCCCAGTGCCTCCTATCCCTGCACTTCCCATTCCAATCCCACACCCCCATCCCTGTCCCAAACGCCCCCTCCTCAAGTACCCCCTCTCTGCATCCCCCACCTCTGTCTTGCATCTCCCATTCCTGTGCCCCACCTCCCATCCCTGCACCCACCTTGTTCTCCTCCAAGAATTTGAGCTTGATGGCCACATCCGCCCGCAGCTTCTCGTACTTGTCCTTGTGGCTCTGGAACTGGCTCTGGGCTGCGTCCAGGCGGCTCACAGCGCCGGCATCGCGTGGGCCCATGCTCAGCTCTTCCAGGTCCGTGCGGTACGCATCATACTCCAGCCTGCACGGAATCCTGGCATCAGTGGCCTGCCTCCACATCTCCCCAAGACTCCTGAGCCCCTCTGAGCTCCCTGTCCCACCTGGCTGTCTCATACTGCTTGACTGTCATAAGCGTGTCCTCCATGGTCTTGTTGACCAGCGTGTTGATGCTGGACACAAAGAAGTTGACAGCACCCAGCAGCGTCTCCCCGTTTTTGCACAGCAGCTTCTGCGTCTCCGCGTTGTACCCAAACTCTTCCTGGGGACAGAGGGATGGGCTCACAGGTGAGGGGCCATGGATCACACCCCCACTCCCCTCCATCAACGGTGCTGGGGGAAAAGCCCCCTGAGACCACTGAGGCCAACTGACCCAGCACTTCCAAACCCAGCACCAGCACACACATCCACTCCTGTGCAGATCATGTTCCTGCCGTGGTGTCCAAGTGTGACTCCCCACATCCTGACCCCCACAACCCCAGTGTCAAGCACCAGCCCCGCCCTGCCCCCCAAGCCAGCCCTAGTGTCCAGGTGTCCCCTCCCAGTCCTAGCACTCCCCATCCTGCCCCTCACTCCAGTGAGGCCCTGCCCTCATTCCAGTGTCCCCCTAGCCCTGGCACACCTGGAGCTCAGGGGATTTCTGGCTGAGGTCAGCAAAGGCATCCCCCAAGGCGTGCTGGGTCTGTACGAGGCTGTAGAGATGGGCTGTGAGTGCCCGTGCCAGATGCAGGACACTCTCGTACTTGCGCTTGGTCTCACGCAGCAGCTCAATCTGAGTCTCCAGCTCCAGGTCCACCGTGCGGGACCCCCGTCCGAACCGCTCTGAGAGGAGCTGCTTGGTGCACTGCAGGAGGGGGAAACCAGGAGGGCCCCCCAAAGCACGTGTGAGTCCCCCCGAACCACTCTGAGAGCAGCTGCTTGTGGGAGGCAGTCAGGAAGGCCTGCCGGTGTTCCCCCACCTCTCACCTTGTAGGTGTTGATCCCCCACTTCTTGACAATGTCAAACTTCTCAACGGCAATGCCACGCACAACCTCCTCTCCACCAGCTGGGGGTCCGGGGGATGGTGGGTGCAGCCCGGGGCCTGGCACAGGGACAAGGATGGGGACAGGACCTGGCACCAGCTCCGGGAGGCCAGCAGCCACGGGGACCAGGCAGCCCCAGCCTCCAGAGCCCTTGCCCTGGAGCCGTTGTTTCCACAGCAGCATCCCCAGCTCTGGGCATGGGCCTAGCACTGGCTCATAGGCATCGTGCTGGGGACCCTGCTCCTGCCAGCCCCCCAGAGGGTCCTGCACAGAGGCACAGACACCAGCCCAGCTGTGTCTGCTAGCACCAGGCCCTGCCCCATCCTGCTGACCACCCTCACCAGGCCAGGACGCAGAGGGAGCGCCGCATCCCCACATCGGGACATCCCTCCGGTGGGCTCCAGGGGCAGGGTGGGCCCCCTGGCCAGGACCCACCTCTGAGCCCATCAGCGCTGTCCTCTGTCCCAGCACAAGGATCAGCACCAGGACCAGGCTCTGGCCATGACACAGCTGCCATGGGGGCTCTTACCAATGTCCCTAGGGAGGCCCGGGGCCCTCAGGCCCAAGGGACGCCCTGAGGTGGAGTGAGGGGCGCAGTACCTGCGGGAGCAGCGGCCGGGCGGGCCATCCTACGGGCAGCGGGCGCGCTGGGGGGCACCGGTGGTCCTCGGGGGGGGTGAGGGTGAACAATAGAGCCTGGAAACGGGGGGGCTGCGGGGGCCGAGCAGGGTGGGGCAGGACAGGATAGGGGGCACAGGGCATGGGACAGTGGGGTAGCCAAGGCAGAGGGGACGGGGGGCAGGGGACAGGGACGAGTGCGTGGGCGGGCGGCAGCGGGAGAGCAACGGCAGCAGGTGAGCGTTGGAACCCAGAGACATGGCCACAGCCACACAGATGAACTCCCCCACCCCAGGGAACCCCCCCCACCTCTGGCCTCTATGCAGCAATCCCTGGGCAGGCCTGATGTCATGGGGACACAGGAACACAGAGACATGGGGACACCGGGCCAGAGCAGCGGTGCTCTGGGGAAGCACACGTGCTCACCCTCTCTGTCCACACAGACCCTCCTCAAGTCCTGGGGGGACTCTCAGGGAGAGATCTGCATGGAACAAGAACAGCGGTGCCAGGTCTCCCACGCTGCAGAGCCCAACTGGCCCCGCTGTGGCCTGGTCTGACTGGGACAGCAAGAAGAGGCCAGTAGGGTGTGGGCTTGAGGCCCCCTGCCTGCCCCCTCATCCACAGCACACTCCAGAGCTCCTGCTGCAGATGGACTGGGACAGACCTGGGATCCCCCACCACAGCTGGGACTCAGAAACCCATGGGGATGTCCTGACCAAGGGGATAGCAATTCCCCAGCAGACCCCATCCTGTAATAGGGGAGCAACCCAGTCCAGGGAGAGCAGAGCAGGGCAGCAGCCCCTCCTCTGCCACCATTATCTTCTGCCACCACTACACACCCCAACACGTTGCCCCTGCACAGAACCCGAGCCCAGCAGGAGCAGAGCCCACCCGGAAGACACCTTGGCTGGGCCGTGGCAGAGCTTTGTGTCGTAAGTCAGGGGCAATGAGGGGAGCTGACCCCCTTCTTCCCATGATGATCCCCATTCCCTCCCAGTCCAGCCCCCACTACCTTTGATGGTGCCGGTGGGGATGATGCCCTCAGCTGTTCCCCCATAGCCGCCTGACACAATGCTGGTCTCATTCAGGTTGGGTCCCGACACCATCACCTGCTGCAGGTCCTGCGGGCCACAGAATCACAGGGGACTGAGATACAGAGACAGCACAGCCCTGGTACAGCCCCAGCCAGCCCCCTGGGGTTCCCGACCCCCAGACCTGCTCCAGGCCATCGTCCTCGGGCAGGCTGCTGGTGTCCCCGTTGCTGCTGATGGGGATCTCCATGGTGGCTGCCTTACTCAGGATCCCGTCCGACATCCTCAGGGCCTGCAGGGACATAGATGTGGGGCTGGGGCCAGGACTACCCTCCAACCGGGGCAGCAGCCAGTACCCGCAGGGCCCGTGGTGGAAGGGGTCAGCAGGAGGTTACAGCGTGGAGCAAGGAGCCTACAGTGGCAGGTGCTGGCACTGAGCAGACTCTGCCCCCCGCCCAGGGCCCCCTGCAGCCACTGCCCAGCCCCACTCGGCCGTCTCTCGGAACACCCCTGACTCCCCGAACGGACCCGCAGGGCAGCACATCCCAGAGGCGCCAGCCCCAGCCTCAGCCGCGCCCCCACCGTGGCTCCCACACCATCAGGCCCAGCACTCGCGGGTTCCCCCGCCCTTGTGCCGCACTCCGTGCTCCCTCTCACAAACCCCGCCGGGGATCCCCGCGTCCTGCAGAGTCCCGGGACAGCGGCGCTAGCAGCGCCCAGCCCGGCCCCGGCCAGGAGGGCGCCGGGAGCCACGTCCGCAGCCGCGGGGGGGCCCCGCTGCGCCCGGACCGGTCCGGGCACATTCCAGGGCAGGCGAGGCAAGGGCGGGCTCCCGCGAACCCGTTACCTGTGACCTGTCCCCTCCCCGGCGGGGACACGGCCCGGCCCAGGGCTCGGATCGAAACCTGCGGGCAGAGGCCGTCACCACCCAGGGCCATCCTCGCTGGAGAACGGCCCAGCGGTCCCCACAGCCTCCGGGGCGGGGCGGGGGGCACGGTCGGAACGGACCCCTCCGCAGCCACGCAAGGCGAGGCCCCGAGACGGGACCGACCTGCGAGGGAACCCCCGGTGGCTGCTCCTGGCGGAGCCAGACCGGGGGGGGGGGGGGGGGG